AAACTGGCTGTGCAGCTTTTTTGCTACCTGTGGTTTTCGGACGAACTTATATAGGTTATGGATGTTCTCACTTGATTATTTTGGGATTTTTTGGCATGTCCCTGGAAGAGTTTTGTGGCTCACCAAACAAATGGAAGAACTAGAGTAAGCCTTTCAGCAACCCTAACCCAATTTATTGGACAACTTTGCTACTATACTAAGCAGAATAGAGAATTGATTGATAGATGCTATTGTTGCGAATTTCTGCTCGAATAGGTAGGGATTGATTGATAGATGCTTAGTTCTAATAGAGAGTAACTACTTATTAGTATGACGGGTTTGAGGCGCTGTAATTACCTTCGACATGCTTGTGGTGCCGAAACCGTTGAGGCGTCATCCAAGCCTCCTCAGGAGATTGTCAACAGAACCGGTTGACTGGTTCGGATAACAGGAAACGATTGCAATGAGTTGGTGAAACTGTAGCTGTGAGGACCCTTATTGCGAATAATTAGTTCAGAGAAGAGAGAAGTAATTCCGAGGGTGCTTAAACCTAAATACAATACCAAGCCAATCGCTCATCAAGCCTCATTCACAATTTCGGACACGGCGCGATTGGCTTCGTTACGCACCAGCATTGACGTGTTTTGTCCTCTTCCTTTTGTGCCTCCTTCTTCCTTTTAGCTCGTGAGAAGTCTCCAAGTATTTAGTCCAAATATCCAGGATGCACATAAATCAATATGTCGTTGCATTTGCTGTTTTGATAATGATCTATCCGAGTCTGAATAACAATTGATGTTTTATTTAGCTTCTGTGTACTAATACATTAGGTACCTCCTATTATACGGACTTCAAGACCTACACCAAATTACATCCACTCCATTATCCTCCCCTCTTCACCCATGTGCCTCCTAACATTCGCCACTGTTTCTTCCTTCCCTTCCATTTTCATACCTTGCTCCCATATCTTAAACTCATCCCACCACCACCCGTGAGTAATCTCATCATCCTCCCCCCTCTTCCGTCCAGTGTTCCATGGCTTATCGACAATATAGTGCAAATTACGCACCACATCGTCACACCACATTTTCGGATGTCAATAACGTGCCATCTTAATTGCATTATACTGCCACCCGAGCGGCTTCCATAGTCCGGCAAAGAAGTGTGCCAGAAAGTCTTGATCTGGGAAAGAGAAAGTCGGGACTAATGGGGAGGTGTAAAGGAACTGGAGCATCGAGGCGAGGACGGCCATTGAGGGCGTAAATACTACGAGGCTGGAATTGAGGAGGGTGTGCGTACGGATTGAAGCTAATGTGACTAGCGTCGGAGATGTCAGTGCAGATGGGTGGGTAAGCGGGGTGTATGCGCAGTGGGCTTCATTCCTTGCCAGGGGTCAGCGTGATAGCTCCGATGATGTACTCGCTAGAGGAAGAGTACCAACCAGTCTTTTGGAGCCCAAGGAGCGCGGTCAAGGTTGCAGACATAGGCGTGGTTGGCTGCAATCCAGTCGGCTGGAAGGTCGAGGGTGAAAAGTTAATCCATATTTCGGAGGACAAGCATGTCACCATCAATAAGGATTGCTTTCTGCTCCCGTATCAAAGCTCCAATCAGTAATCCGAACTAGGTGGAGTAGGTGATATGCCTAACCTTATATTCTTCAAAGCCGAAAACGGTCAGTTTGGTCCATGTATCCTCGAACCGTTCTGCTACCACATCTACACGGTTCTTGGGGGCTATTGGCTGGATGTTCTTCACCTGCAATCCTGAGTCTAGGAGGGCGTCGACAGCGTATTGTAGTAATGATGGTGTGATAGCTACAACAAAAGGATATTTCGAATCCACTTTCTTAAAGGAATGACCGAGGGTAATGACACCAAGGAGGTAGGAAGGGCGTGTTAATAGGACGACCCAAGCTCCCTCATGGTGGTGGCTGAGATTTGGAGATCCTATCTCTGGCTCTACCATGGGGTGTTAGAGCGTGAAGCTTGCTGAGGAGGAGTTAGTAGTTACCGAAGGGTCGCTGGCTGGGTGAATGCTTTGTGGATGTAAAGTTTGGAAGGGAGAAGGGTTTTTGTCCTGAGGTAAGGGAGATATATATGTCAGACGCTGAGACCAGCCCATCCAAAGGTTATCTAATGTGAGCTTAGCATCATCAGTGGGTAAGTGAGGAGAGAGGGACTTTTGGTGAACCAACTAACCAGTCAACCTAGAAAGATCACGTTGAATGCTGTACTGCTGCTGTTATTGGGCGGCAAGAGTTTAAGCACCTAGTGTACTCTTTCTGCGAACTATATTCATGTTTCAACCACCTCTATCGTAATCGAACTCAACTACTTGAAATTAAGTGTGGGTAGGAGCATTATGGATTTTTCTTGCATCGGGGCCTAGGCACTATACAAAACCTCGCAAACACAAGAAATGAATCTACAGGCTTGGTCAATTCTCACATAAGACGGAATAGATCGGTTTACATTCTAAATCACAGCATACGAGCGATATCTTTTAGCAGATACGCAGGCTCACAGAGGCAATCTAGTGGTGGCGATCTGTTTGATTTTTGCGGGGAAACGGCCACCTGCGTAGTGCCAGGCTAGGTGATTTGTTAGGTTTCGACTTCCTCGTTTTCCTTCACATGCCATCGCCTTGCATGGTACAATCGCGTGCCGGTAGCCAGAATTGAAGAAATAAGCACTATATTGTGGAAACGAAACAAGCCTTCCTTTTAACCCCTCTTTTTCTCTACAAGAGTATTGATATCACTCAAAGGCAACTTAACCTTCATTTGCAACGACAAAGACACAGACAAAACAAAGTAACAATGCCTTCGACAAAAAGACCTCCGCTGCCTTCTCGGCGGATTACAGCAAATTCACAGGCCAACCTGCACATACCATCCCTATTCACCCACTACGACACCTTCCACCACCACCTCCCTGAGCGTCTCCCGAAGAGATCCTGCTCCAATTCTCCAACCAAACGAAAGATGGAAAAGAAAAGACGCTTGATCCCTACATCCACCGAGACCTTGATATTCTTCTCATTTTGGATATTTGGGACTGTCGTGACGATGCAATTTGGTGTCGTTGTCACTGCTTCCAATGAGTATGTCCAATGTCCTCATGCTTCTAGATCTTCGCCGCCGCCTTCGTCCGTTCTCTGCTCATATAAAACAGCCTCGTAGGAAATAGCGCCCCACCAGGGCTAATTTTATTCGCTTACACACTTCCGAGTATTCTCGTTCGCATGTTTGTGCCCTACATAAATTTCTCCAACATAACCCTCTCTACACTCACCAAATGGTTCTCAATATCAGACTACTCTGCAGTAAAAGCAAAGGATATAGCGTCTGAAGAAACAACGCCAGAAACTGAAACACCTTTTACGTTGACGGATGAAACTAAAGGAAACCGGGAGGTCAACTATGCTACACGGCTCACAGTTTGTGCTGCCTCATCATTTTTCGGACTTCAGCTACTTGCTTGGGGAAATAATGTAGGGATTCAAATATTAGGCATCAGTTTTGCCAGCTTATCAAGCAACCTTGGTGATATGTGAGCGCGCGCGTATATTTGCACCACATCATTCTCATGTGCTTGAGAGTGGACACGAAGCTAATCAGACCGTGAGAAAAGGTCGTTTTTCCAACTTGCCACTAAGTATCCGGCAATGATATCCCAATCTTTTGGTGGATACGCGGCGGGAAGTGGTGCTGCGGGTCTCATTGGATCCTTCGTATACACCCTCTGCAACGCATCATTTGGAGCTCGCCCAGCCGCTGTTATTTCGGCGGTTGGGGTCGTGCCATCTATCATGTTGTGCATCTACTTCTGCGTGTTGCCTTCAGCAGAAGAGGTGGAGCGGAAGGCTGGAAGCAGTGATGATAGTCCGGGGGGATTGGAGGATCATGAAGAGTCAATAATAGGGCCTTTGAAGCTCAGTGAGAAGCTACAGTTGGTGAAGCCAATGATCTGGGGATACATGGCACCACTGGCTATCATGATGTTTTTAGAGAACGTTACAACCCAGGTGAGAAACATATCACCCTCCCCATTTCAAGCAATGTGTCTCTAAGCAGGTATCAGGGAATTCTCCCAACCGTCATCTGGTACCTTCCACTGTCTGCACGTTTCCGTAATTTCGGTGCCGGATCAGTAATAGACAGAATCTTCCGCACCACGCGCGACTTCTACCCCACTTTCTTCACCATATATCAGCTCGCCATTTTCTTTGGTCGAACATCAATAACTCTCTTCCGGTTGCCTGGCGGTAACCGCCGCTCATCATCCGCGTATTACGGCCTCTGTATCACCGAATTAATCTGCTTCTTTGCAATGCTATCGCAGTCTCTTAGCATGGCTAGAAGTAACTTTTCAACATCAGACCTTGACAACGCTGTGCAATTCTCACCTATTGTTATCGGAGTCATAATCTTTGCTATGGGGCTCTGCGGCGGTTTGGGAATGAGCAACACCTATTGGCGAGTCTCCAAGAAGCCTCTTCCACCAGCTGTGTGGAAAGCGCTAGAGAAGTCCTCACCCTCAAAACTGGCAAGTCTAGCGCGCGAGGAGGGATGTATGACACCTATGAACCCGAATGAAGAGGAAGAAAGCTATTTCTACCAGCGAGGCCGACCACACCCGCGGCCGCAACTACACCAGACGTTCTCAATGGGGCCATCACCTTCGAGAGATCGGGGGTTATCATTTGATGGGAAATCGGTGCAGATGTTGTCTTCTGAGATGAGGACGAAAGAATCCCCTGTGTGGAGTCAAAGTGATGAGACTGCGGTTCGGGAGTTTTTGATTTCCACAATTGCATTGCCTGACACTCTTGCTATCTTTATGGCTAGCTTGGTAAGTTTGTGGTTGCAACCAAAGTTGTGTCAGTTGCAGGTCGAAGGTGGAAGGGAACTTTGTAGAGGCGGTGTTTGATTTGATTTGATAGGATATCCGTGTAGGTCTTGTATCTTTCAAACATCTTATAATGCTTCAGTTAAATATCAAATATTAGCAATATAGTCAACAGGCAACCTGGCCGAGTGGTCTAAGGCGCCAGCTTCAGGTGCTGGTCCGTAACAGGGCGTGAGTTCGAATCTCACGGTTGTCAATATACTTTTTGCTCTTGTTTTGCTGGCTGGATGACTTCAAGGCCTGTCTCAAGAGGCTACACTTCCAGAGTACGGGGAATTCAGCTGCCTCGGGATATAGTCCTAGGCATGCAATGGATCAACTGCTTGATGGAACAGAAATCAGCTTCCACTCTTACAAAATTTGATCCATATCACTTTAGCATAAGTATCTAGTCCGTAGCCTACCCCGGCAGCCGGTGGCCGTGAAACAGTAGACCACCGATATGTACTCGTAATCAATGCCGAACCGCCGTTGGGGTTGGGCCATTTGGGCTGGGCCGTGGTCCGTCTGACCCACCAAAACTTCGAGCGGCCAAACGTGCTGCTGGAAGTTCCCAGATGAATGAATAACGGCAGGAATGACACTACTAGGGGCAAACATGGAACGTTGAACAAGTTCAATGTAGTGGTACTTATCGGTGATGGTCATTTAGCGGGCTAGATCTTAAAGAAATACGGGGTAGACTGGGTCTAAGTTGGTGAGGTCCAAGAGAGCAAATGATTACTTGGTCAAGCCTCCGTGTTTGTTTGTATTTTCATCAACTGAGAAGTGATTACTAGAGAATTCCATCGCTCTAAGGGATTTCATATCAACCCATTCAACGGGTTTTGATTTCATTCTATTGAAAAGCATATGAATTTAGTGACGGACTTCAGGGCCATAAAAATCGGACAAAATAGTCGTCGTTCCGATCATGGTATGTACAAAAAATCTTCGGGAATTAATACCTAGACGAAATGAATGCAGGTCCATAGACTTTTTTTTTCATACTCTTGTTGCAGATTCTCACTAAAGTTTCCCGACTTTTTGGTGCCATGAATTCCATCAACCCACCCTAATGATTGGACCTGGGATAATTGTGGAGTAGTAGGTAAGAATATCTTGATATTCTTCCTGATCCCTGATAATATCCCTATTAACTGAAATAACCAACCATACTTGAACAGAAATGAACTCAGTAACAGACTAAGTAACTGCCTCTCCTTTCTCGCTCTTTGCCTTCCTGTCAGTGTAGCTCCTCTTCCGATTTCCTGCTGGAGGCATATACTAACAAGTTCCTAGGCAATTCATGAAGATACCGTATACTTACACTCGGATAAATGGTACGTTCCGATTAGGTTAGCGCCCAAAATATTACCGAATAAGGAAAAATATTAAGAATTAAAATAAGCACGGTCCTTTTTAATTTCTGTATTGAGCATACTACTTACCTGATTGGGCGTGACAGCCTATTCGAGGGCGTACCTTTTATCCGAGTGTATACAAACTTAATCTACACACCAATATTGATTATGACCCGTACTCTAGTTGTGGCGGATGTAACTTCGAGGTGTCCAGATGTGGGATCGGCAACGGCATTTCCGTTGGATTGGGCGTGTGGTTTGGATAGTCGGCGATATATAGGATCGAAGGCATTATCGCCAACCAGTTTAAAGTCCTCAATATGTACAGACGCTCGACATAGATTCCTTGCGTATAGACACCTTCTCTTTGCGTAATGCAGACACCAAAATCCCAACCTGGGTGCCTTCCGGTATACCCAAGGCAGCTCCGGATTTTTTTCCATTGATGAAAGCCACCTCCATAGAGCCATGGATTTCGCTTGGATAGAATCTATAGCCTTTAGAAAAGGGTCAGATTGGTTCTCAAGTTGGCCCTCCGGTCTGTGTTTAATTTTGTAGCTATGCGCCCACCGAACGCCCTAGGCTTCGCTGCTGATAAAATACCTGTCACCTTTCTCATTCCGTGCAAAGAAACTCATACCGATGAGAAAACGTCCGGCGGGCATTGTTAAGCCTGAATGCTGAGCCAGCAAACCGTTGGCAGTGACTTTCGCCGGACTAAAACTACTAACACAGGGGTAACTCACCACAATCTGGCTACTAGCTGTTTGTTGTGTTGTCTGGAGTAATTTTCGAGAGGCCCAGCGATAACCTTCTTTTTCAAGTCGGGGGAGATCGCAGAACATAAACCACCCAGGAACAGTAGAGCATGACCCCAAAATTTCACCATCCTTCCTTAACTAGAGTTTGGACGATCGGAACTGCATCGAAGTCGAATAGCGTAGAAAGACATATCGCCTGATCCTATTCCATGCATGTCGAATGAGAATTGAGAGCGGCGGCGAAAGCATTGATCTTATCTATAACATCCTCTCTCTGCCTAAACACCTAAAATCAGCACCCTCTGGTTGATAAGGAACTTTAATGAAAATCTTAAACACTGTTTAATGGCTCTGTTGAGATTCTGGATTCCGACATCCACATTGTACGATGTATTGGCAAACTGGAAAAACAACACTTTTACCAGGGCTCCTTCTTGGAGGGTCTAAAGCCGGCTGTTCCAATGGGAACCTACAATTCTCGTGAGGATTTCGGTGTCGGCCAGATTCTCTATGTTTTGTGACTGAAGCCATGAGTCTAAAACAAGCACTTCTCGTGCATTCTCGTAGGTTTCCCTCATCTTTCCGATCGCCAGCTCCTGCGCTTCATTTTTCCCTGCGGAATCTGGGGGACAGCAGATTGCATCGATCCAGAAGAGGTGAATATTAGGTGCTTTGCCAGGTAAATTGCGTTTTAAGTTGCTCGGGTGTAGCATTTGACAATGGGGAAGAGCGCTTCGTTGGACATTCCCTAGGCCAGACGTGAGATCTAGCAATGTACTCGATCTGTAGCCCCGATTCAGCGAGTGTGACAGTGCGGTCCTTATCATCGCTATCGATTGAGATAATTAATGGTACGCAATCTCTTTTCAATATTCGTAGTATCTCAGCTTCATCCGCCACAATTTCATAACCAGAACAGCCTTCAATGTATTTAGTCCGATAGATCTCATCATTAAGCTGATTTGTAGAGTGTTTGAGTGTGGTACAAAGGTCGCCCGATTGAGGCTTTTTGTACCGATTTGGCTGATGGCTGAAGTTACCGTAGGGTATTCACATATCGTTAGGTGCTCCGTGGCAGGATTTGGTCGTTCGAGATGGCTCAGGAAATACATTCCTGCGGCGTTAAATCTGCAAAAAATTAGACAATTTAGACGGGTACCAGCCATCGCTCCTCATTCGCAAAAATATTGCATTCTTTCCTTCGTTGAAGGGCAAAGTGGTTCCAATCACCGCATGCTGATAATCATAGTCACCGTAAAAGTCGGAGGGACATGCTTTAGGGCTTCGATGAAAAATCCCAGTAGTAGGCCTAGGGACATGAACTTGGCACCCTTCATGAACGAAATAAGCCCGGATTTATGTGAATCCATTAAACCCCCCACCACTACTCTGCCAAATGCAGTTATGCATAATGTATGGTACAGCGTCCATGCTTGGTAGGGGTCCTGGAGGGCCTGGCGGTCGCGATCGGAATCGAGATTGTCCTGTCCGTACCTATAATATGTAGCACCACTTCTGTAACATTGACGGTAATCGCACCATGGTTATAACTAGACGGTCAGGATGGCCAATCCGCAGAGAAAAGTCAGATGTACGAATTGGGAGCATTCTCTTAAATAACGCCGACACCAGACTAAAGAACACCGACATCGGACCGAAGGGTCATGTTTGAAGAAAGGCCAAGAATTCCTTTGAAGAGTTCTGGAAGATAACTTTCCATTCTCTCTAAGTCCTGGGACCCCATCCATGCCGATGCGGGAACGTGTTGAAATCACCACCATTGTAGTCCTCTGTACTGAGACACGGAGCTTCCACAACATATGTAGGATCGCGAGGGAGTGGTAGGTGGTCCATCGTCGACAGTGATACTATTTTGACTGTTAGGGAAACGTTACACCTTGTTTCTAGGAGACAGTAATTAAAAATTATTGATCCAACAAAAGATTTAGTTGACTAACCATAGACTAGAAATATATGCTTGTATTCGGAAGGGGAAAGAAAAAGACGTCTGGAATAACACTGTGATCAGGGTCGGTTTACTTGGGAAAGAGGAGAACATCGCAAAGCTTACCGTCAACCGCGAAAATCGAACTTGGTTTGTGGAGAAGCGTTGGCGGTAGATGTGCGGGGTGAGATCGGATGTTCTCGGACGGGAGGTGCTGGTCTGTGGGCTCGTATGTAGGGGGCAGATATATACCTAGATACTTAAGTACTCGTACATAGACAGGCAATTGCGTATTGGCTCTTCATTTGCCAACATATCTCCCACGATTCGGCAGTAGCTATAAAATAGGAAGTTTTGAATGAAGACAATACCCAACTATTAGGACCAATACCCATTTTTCCGCTGACTGAAGATGGAGCTCTATTTATTGTAAGAAATCGACTTGCTTCTCATTGTACACTTCGTTCAGCTTCTTCGGTAGTACATATACTGAAACAAGCTTACCACCGAGAATATCGGGGTGGATTTTTTGGTGAGCACGCCTTGTCTCGTTACACAGTTCCTGAGCTTGACGCATTCAACGTCTCAATTCTTACAGTTAGATTCTCGAATCGAGTTCCCCATTGTAACAAAAATTACATCATCGGCCATATAAACCCGATGTCCAGATCATACACAGAGCATCACTCGGCCACCAAAATCCGCCCTCCAACTTGTGAACGTTTCAGCCCGTAATTGTAACCGTGGTACAGAGAAGAAGAAAAACTCGGGCAGACCAACAAGGTACACATGTATGTACTCGTTACTGGGGTTTGGAGAATAAACACCTGTAGTCCCGTCATACGTGGCTTTGTTACTCTAGGGAGTATCTCTCAAGAGTACAACTTTTATGTACAAGTCCAATCAGCTACATTACCGTGCACGCTAGGAACAGTATCATTGATAGAGCGATCAAAGGATAGTGAAAATAATGCCATCACTGTGCCCACTTTTTATTTTATTTTGGCTTTAAATTACGGTTCACTTCAGTTATCACTAGCAAAGTGCACAAAGAAATGAGTACTTCATGTTATGGCTACAGCATATTAACCCTTCTCCAAACCCCGTACCGGGTATGTAGGGTACACTCGTAAAAATTTCCAGAAAT